GCACTGTGAGGGGTGAGTGGGGTTTTTCCCCCCCCCCCACCCCAACACACACACACACACACACACACACCAACTCTGACCACTCATGTCTGTAGTATTGTAAGTACTAAGTTAATACTGCAGTACATTTTCATTTACATAAAACAACTCTTTTTTTTTTTCTCATTTTCACAGATCAGATCAGGCTCTGATATTTTTTTTTATATACAAAAGTAAACATCTGGGGCGCGGATCTTTTTTGGCCCAGAGATCCTGACAGTTTGTCCTTCGTCCATTTCATTGCTCTTCATTTGGTGGTACGGTGCAGTACGGTACAGTACGGTACAGTACGGTACAGTACGGGACGGTGCGGTGCAGTACGGTGCAGTGCGGTACAGTACAGTACAGTACGGTACAGTACGGTACAGTACAGTACAGTACGGTGCAGTACGGTACAGTACAGTACAGTACGGTGCAGTACGGTGCAGTACGGTACAGTACGGTACAGTACGGTACAGTACGGTACAGTACGGTACAGTACGGTGCAGTACGGTACAGTACGGTGCGGTACGGTACAGTACGGTACAGTACGGTACAGTACGGTGCAGTACGGTACAGTACGGTGCGGTACGGTACAGTACGGTACAGTACGGTACAGTACGGTGCAGTACGGTACAGTACGGTGCGGTACAGTACAGTACGGTACAGTACGGTACAGTACGGTGCAGTACGGTACAGTACAGTATCCACCCGGTGTTGTCTTCCATCTTTGTTCATTAACGTTTCTTCTGCCTCTTCTTTGCTGCTGGCAAACAAACATTATTGTGCATTACCACCCCCTACAGGCAGGAGGGTGTTCATCAGCATTCATTTCATGTCAGAAATTAGACAAACAGAAAAAGATACTATTGTTTGTTTGTTTTGTTTTTTTGACATTTTTTCTACGATTACTTTATAAAAAATACTGCCCTACTTTTAACCGACATCCTCTTTGGTTGAAACCTGCCGTCGTCGACTCTCTGTGTTAATCTGCAGTGTAAGAATTTTTTTTTTTCTCTCTCTTTCACTTCAGGAAAACGTCCTGACTCTCTGACCTTATCGTCACTGGACCAGTCCTGGGCCTTTGATGTGGCTGCTGTGTTTGTTCACCAGCGCCAGTGGTCTGCTCTGTCCATTCAACAAGCTGCCACTTACTAAATCCCTCAGTGTGGACGGCAGCAGCAGCAGCAGCAGCAGCAGCAGCAGCATTGTTGGTGTTTTACACCCGCAGGTGAGAAACATGGCAGCAGCATTGTTGGTGTTTTACACCCAGAGGTGAGAAACATGCACCGCTCTGTCCTCACCCCTCTGTCCTCACCCCTCTGTCCTCACCCCTCTGTCCTCACCTCCGCTGTGACCCACTTTTCACCTGGGTTCAAATTCGGCCACGGTCCAATTAGACCAGAGCTGCGTCGTCACGGCTACAGAAACCAAATCCACATCCTCGTTACAGACGGTGTTTGAGAACCCGACGCTGACAACATTACGTCGTCACGTTCGTAACAACAGAAACTGAAAGAAGATTTTCATCGAGCTCCATTGATCCCCAGCGAGAGACAGTTCAGTTCAGTGTTACAGCCCCCCCTGCAGGAGTGTGCAGGAGTGTTTCCGTTAAAAAAAAAAAAAAAAAGGCGAGAGGTAAACGCTAAAAGGAAAAAGAAAAAAAAAAAAAAAAAGCGAGAGGAAAACGCTAAAAGGAAAAAGAAAAAAAAAAAAAAAAAAGCGAGAGGAAAACGCTAAAAGGAAAAAAAAAAAAAAAAAGGCGAGAGGTAAACGCTAAAAGGAAAAAGAAAAAAAAAAAAAAAAAGGCGAGAGGTAAACGCTAAAAGGAAAAAGAAAAAAAAAAAAAAAAAGGCGAGAGGTAAACGCTAAAAGGAAAAAGAAAAAAAAAAAAAAAAAACGAGAGGGAAAAGCTAAAAGGAAAAAAAAAAAAAAAAAAGGCGAGAGGTAAACGCTAAAAGGAAAAAGAAATAAAATAAAACAATTTATGATCATGATTAATCACGATTAACAGGAATATTCCATGGAATTTTTTCATAAAATATTTTAATTTAATTTATTCTAAATCTAAATATTTACTATAAATGTCACAAAAGTATTAATATAAATATAATTTGCACAGAATATTTTTATAAAATAAAATTTAAAAACCAAATGGTCAGACCAACCCCTCCCCCCAACAACAACTGACAGCTGAACAAGAACAGGCTCAAAAATAGCTAAAGGTTAGCTAAAAATGACCTTAAATAACGAGTTAGCTAAGTTTAAATAAAAACAGACAAAAGTTAGCTCTCAAATAACTGCCATATATCAAAAAAGAGAAAATTTGACGCACGAAACGAGGACGGCTGGTGATAAAAGTTTGACATAAAATCGTGACTTTTTTTTTTTCCTGTTTATTTGAATGGAGACATAAATCACATCCACGATGTCAAATGTTACTGGAATGAACACAGAATCAAGTGTCTCAGTGGAAACCATCGCCCTGAGGGACGCCTTTGGAGAAAAGCTAAAAAAAAAAAAAAAGTTTTTGTGAACAGAAACGTCTTTAGTGAAGCTGTGACAGAGAAGAAAAACTATGAATCACCACAAAGAGGAACTGGTTTGTGTCGACCAGTGGCTGGGACACAGTGTACCAGACGGCAGCGCTGCAGAAAATTTCAACATTAAAAAAAAAAAAAAAACCCCATACAGTTATCCAGTGGTCTGTGGATGCAGGGATGACCAGTGAAGGACACTGGTCTCCTGCTGCAGTGTTTTCTTTTTTTTTTTTTTTTTTTCCTTCCATTCACTGACAGAAAGCTTTTTTTTTTTTTTTCCCTTCCATTCACTGACAGAAATTCACAACAGCTGAAAGTGAGGAGGAACCGTCGGTGTCATGTGTTCCTCTTGCTCTGAACACCATAAATGGAAGGAACTTCATTCACAAATCTGCCCTCTGTGAACCCTCGACGGCGTCCGCCGGCCGCTGCCACACCGGCTCTGACCAGTGTCACCGGAGAGGTCACGTGACGACACGTGCGAAATGTCACCGTTTCCTCCCGGGGGAAGCCACAGAACTGCAGTTGGAAATGAATGTTTGGATTATTGATTTTTAATGCACTTGGCTTCAAACAGGAAGCAGCTGCATTATCTCGCCAACTGTGCGCCAACTTTAAATATAGTCTCACGTATAACCCGGCGTGCAGCGGTACTGTTCATTACATGTGGTGGCGTAGATCTGATTTCACAGATAAAAACAGAGTGTGCTAATTTAACCGTAGGTGTTTCACCCTGACTCAGTATCTGGGTCAGAAAATGGCAGGAACTTGGAGTAAAATGCGACTGAAACACTTAAAGATTTCACTTGAAATAAGTCACGGTTACACTTCAGCTCTGATGCAAATACACCGAATATTTGATTATTTCCTAGAAAAATTAAAAATGCTGTAAAAAAAAAAACGGCGTCCTACTCAGTGGTCTATGAGCGGGTCGCTAACAGTTGATCCAAGAAAGTACGAAATTAAGCAGGTGAAGGTTTAAGTTGAAGGAAGTCTTACCAAAATTGCTCAACATTAAAAGCTTCTTGAATTAGCTCAGAAGGAGACAGAAGTTAGCAAGAACTGTCACAGAATGAGTAAAAGTTAACGTGAGTAATTTCTCATATTTGCCTAAAGAGCAGATTCATTTTTTTCTGCTTTTTTAAAAAAAATAAAACTCAGTTCAAATGTCTGTCTCCAAAAAGCTACTGATAAATGTAAAGAACCAAAAAAAAAAAATTTAAAACAGCAAAAAAAGATGAACAAAAACAGCTAATAAGAGTAGCCTCACTAAAAAATAGCTTAAAAATAACTAGTTAGCCTAGCACCAGGTAACATAGGTAAAATTAGCAAATAAAAACTTCCTAAAACTCACCAAAGAAAGTCTTCAAAAGAACTGATAGATTTTAAAAAATTAGCTCATAAAAGCCAAACCAACCAGGTTAATTAAACCAATAGCAAAATGGCTATAAGATTGTTCAAGAAATACACAGAAAGTAAGATGATGCTAACAGATAGCCTCTGAAAAAGTGTAGTACAAAATAGCCTAATAAAATTAGCCATTACTTAAATTAGCTTAACATAACTATTAGAATGGTGTCGCTCGTATATTTAGCATTTACTAAACAGTAGCTCAAAATAGCTAAAGGTTAGCCTAAACATATGACAAAATGTCCTAAAATCAACCACTAAACACCAAAAGAAAGTTGCCTGTTAACAGTTCGCCCAGTTAAGGTTCGAGGTGTAGTGGTAGTTAATTTGGTTCCTGCTCTTTGTACGTGGATATTTTTATCCCTGAAGGTCAGAGAGTCTGAGGTGAGTTAAAAAAAGAACGACTTCATCAGCAAATCTTCAATTAAAATAACTGCCCCCCCCACCTCCCTCTGAGGGTCATTTAATCCCTCTGTCTACACTGCAGTACTCAGAGTACGACTGTGTACACATGATGTAGTACTACTACTGTGATGTGTTCAAGTGCTGCTGCATCTTTGAATCCACTGGACGTCATCATCTCACTCTCTCTCTATCTCTCTCTCTTTTTTTTCCCTGCTGCAGACGTCTCATCGGAGTCGGCGTGTGGACGGAGAAATGTTCAGACGAGCTACAGGTGACGCCGCTAACACAACGTCCCAGCAGCTGCTGCCGTTGGGAGGGCTCTTCAAACGTGAGTTTTTTTTTTTTTTTTTTTGTTTTTGTTTCTTCTCTGAGTCAAACATCATCGCGGACGGCTACTGATCCGCCGGGAAAAGCGCTTTCCAGGAATCACGCTCCAGCGGTCGACCACGTTTGTTTCATTTACTTTGTTTGGTTCAAACTCACAGCGTACGACGGTTCCTTTAATCAGAGCTCAGGCTCAGAGTCACTCTGACAACGACACAAATGGAAGGTGACCTCAACGCCACGCCGGGGTCCGAGGCCCTGAGGGGTGTACAGAACTGACACTGACTGGACAGAGGGGGGCGCCGTTGATGCCAAAAGGCTGCGTTAGAGACTGGTTATCATGGGATGATTGATGGAAAAAAAATGGTGGGAAAATGTCGCTAAATAGACTGAAAATAGTTAATTAGTTAGTTAGTCAAAAGTTAACCAAGTCTTAGCTAAGAACCAGGGTTAACCAAATGTAACAACAGCAATAATAAACCCCAAGAAAGTAGCTAATTTTTGGCTAATGTTAGTGACGAAATAGCTACGTTAGCACAGTACATGCTAGCTGCAGTAGCTTCAGAATACAATTAAGTTGATTTTAAAGCTAAGCTAAAATCAAGCTTAAAATATATACTGAGACATCAGTCATCATTTAGTTAGCATTAGCCGAAAAAGCTAAACAAAGAAGCTCAGAAGTGAAAAACAGCATTAGCCGAAAAAGCTAAACAAAGATGCACTGAAGGTTAGCTCAGAAATGAAAAACGGTTAAATATCAGCAAAATATTATCATATCATTAAAAAATAGTTTAAAATAGGACAGAATATATATATATAAAAAAAAGAATATATTCCATCAAGTGCTAAAAGTTAGCCCTAAACCTATTTCACATGGTACAAACGTTAGCTCAGGCAACAATAGGTTAAGTCAAAATGTACTTGTAGTTGGAGAGAACTAGAACTGGCAGCAGTTCAGATGTCAGTCACAGTCACAGAGAAACTCCCACTTCAGTCATTCTCTGGTTCTGGTTCCTTTTTTGTCTATAAATATTGCTTATATTTATCATAATGAAAATCACGCCCTGAATTTTTAGCACACAGGAAAAAGTGTGCGACTTTCTGACAAACGACGTTAACGCTGCATGAGTCAAAGTGGATTTGTCTCTGAGTTTTAACAACATGTAGAAAAGAACAGCGTGGTTTCTTTTCTACCTCTCTCTATCTCTCTCTCTCACTCACTCTCATTTCGGAGTTTTTTTTTTTTTTATTCCTGAGAAAGTGCACTGATGTGCAAGCATCTTGATATTGAACATTTCAGTTGTGACTCTTGTCGTGCCTCGCTCTGACTCACGGTTAGGGGAAGTTGTAAGTCGTTGTATGTTAATGAAGCGCTTGTGAAAGTTTGCACCGCTTTTATCTCAATCAGAGTCTGCGGGGCCCCCCCCCCCCCCCCCCCCCTCGATCTCACCTCACCTCGCCTTTCACTTCAGCTCAGTGTAGTGAGTACAGACACCACTGACCCGAGTGGGAAAACACAACTACTGACTAGATGAACTGACTAATCACATGTCACCTGGTGGAACCAGATGAGTGGAGACGTTAGCTGGAAACCAGTCACTTCTTATTCATGGTTCACCTGGTAACCTTTCTGAAAAAAAAAAAAAAATTCTGCAGTGTATGATGGGTAATGTAAGGACGCGGAGAGCTGGATTGGAACCCTCAACTTTCCGGTTAGAAAGAGGGTTCCGTCAGCAGTAACTGATCTAATCTAATCTAATCTAATCTAATCTAATCTAATCTGATCTGATCTAAAGATCCATCAATACTTTAACCCAGATTAGATTAAATTATAAACACATTTTTTACACCTGACGGCGTCTCTTAAACGACCAGACCGAAGTAACGAGACCAGAGCGACATCACCGTCTCCTAATTCGCTGCCGCTTTTCACGTCACATGGGCGATGATGTCATCCAGTTCGTTGGACTGGAGAACTTCTGTTCTGCCCGGTGGTTTCAAGGAGAAACTGCAGGTGACTTTGAATTACAATATGGATGGATGGATGGACGGATGGATGGATGGAGGATGGATGGATGGATGGATGGATGAATGGATGGAGGATGGATGA